ATTGAAGGGACCCTAGTGCACGAGTCCAGACCATTGGGTGTGACACTTAAGCTACCTATATAAGGATATGGAGTTATTTTAAGAGCAACATTCATTCACATACATACTTAGAGACTAAGAAAATAGAAAAGGAGAAGCTAGAGACTAAAGACACACCATTTTGGGAGTTCTTCCATTCTTCTAGGGTTTCAACCAAGGACAAGAGCATTTTTACCATGGAGATGGCCCTTGAGGTTGGATGACTACATCAATGAGTGGCTAAACATCTTCTTGGAGCTAGAGTTAGCCCTAAGCATGCTTTCTAGACCTTAATGTTTTGTATTTTGAGTGGATTTGTGTTGTAATGTTGTCTTGACACTTGATTTATATATGAATCTTGTTCTTACAATGATTTATGTGGTTTAATACTTCCTATTGATCATTTCATTCTATCCATATGTCCATGTATGTTAGAATAGATGTTCATGTGTTTATCGCTAGTTTTTGTGTTCTTGATGCATGTCTATGTGTGTTGATGCTATGGATCTAGAATTTGTCAAGGCATGGTGCTTAATAGAATCTCTTGTGGTTTATTGGATGGTTCATGCTCATTTCTTGATGGATTGCGCATCTCCCTTAGTTTAATTAGTTTAATTTCCATGTTCCTAGCTTAGTTGTAATGTAGTTGCCTTAGTTTCTTAAATAGAAGGACAATCCATGCTTGTTGTTTGATGTTCCATGCTTATGAATGCAAGTAGTATATTTTTCTAACCATGTGATGTGTTTAGATTGTGAGCTTAAAGGAAGGAATAATGGCTTAGTTTGATATATTGTGCTATTCACTAGATTGCTTAGATAATATATATTTAATTGGTCATCCATGCTGGTTGAAACAATCAATCACACACACTATTATTGCAACACATGTTTCCCCTCATTATTAATACATTAAGTGTCTAGAAAGGTGATATTTAGTGGTGACCTCTAAGTCCCAAGACTTCTCTCTCTTATTCCCTCTATCATCTATTTGTTATTATTAGTTTTACATTGAACTTGCTTAGTTTTAGCTAGTAGTTTAATCAACTAAATAATCTTTTGATCACTCGACCTACTAACTCTATATATTGTTTCCATTGCAAATACGCCCACAATCCCTTGGGACGATCCCTACTCACCCTAGCTATATTTAGTAGTTAGAGTTAGTAGTGGCTTTTTATAAATTTAAAACTTGGCCACACTATTTTGCACAAATTTGGAGTGTTGCGACGACGAGTCACCAGTAGGGATCGTCCCAAGGGATATGAACGGTATTTTTGTGGAAACAATGTTGGATTAATAGGTCGAGTGATTAAAAGATGGTTTGTTGGTTGAATTAAACTATAATTTAAACTAAACAAATGCAATGTAAAATAACTAAAGTAAGTAAGGTGTAGAGAATATGAGAGAGGAGTCTTGAGTCATAGACTTCACCACTAAGTATTACCTTCCTAGACATTCAATAATTGATGGATTAGGGGGAATATGTGTTGTAAATGAAAGTGTGTGCCATTGATTGAAATATTAACATGGATGGCCAAGTAAGCATACATTGTCTAGTCAATCTAGTAAATAGCACAACATATCAAATTAAGCCATTAATCCTTCCATAAGCCCATAATCAATGCACACTCAACAAATTAGAGAAATATACTACTTGCATTCATAAGCATGGAACATCAAACAACAAGAATGGATTGTTCACCTATCTAAGAAAGTAAGACAACTACACTACAACTAAGCTAGTGACATGAAAATTAAACTAATTAAGCAAAGGAGGTGGCACAATCCATCAAGAAATAAGTATGAACCATCAAAGTAACTACAAAAGTATTACATTTAAGCACCATGCCTTAACCATCACTAGATTCATAATATCAACACACATAGACATGCATCAATGTCACAAAATCTAGAGATAAACACATGAACATCTATTATAGCATACATAGACATATGAATAGAATTAAATGATCAATTGGAAGTATTAAACTACACAAATCAATATAGAAACAAGATTTATATATATCAAATGTCGAGACAAGAAATACAATACTAATCCCCATTAATTATAAAACATCAAAGTCTAGGAGGCATGCTTAGGGCTATCTCTAGCCCCAAGAGAATGGTTTAGCCACTTATTGATGTTGTCATCCAACCCTCAAGGGCTATCTCCATAGTAGAGCTCATTTTCCTCCTCTTGTGTTCTTGGTAGGAACCCTAGATGAGTGGAAGAACTTTTCCAAATTGTATAATTTCTCTCTCTAATCTCTAGCCAAGCCTCTCCAACTAACCAATCTCTTTACTCAAAATAGCCAAAATCTTTATCTAGGTAACTCAAGTGTCACACCCAATGGTCAGACCTCGTGCACTAGGACCTCCAAATGATTATACCACGAACACACCTTTAATTTGGCTGGAACTCTGTTTTTCATGCAACTTGAGGTAGTTCGATCGATCACGAGGTTGCTTGGATCGATCAAACCTTGGCGGCACACTTTTTGGATAATGACAAGGCTGAGATATTTTTGGGAAAAAGACAAAAGTGGTAGGTGAGGATAAGATTAAAGGGGTTCGATCGATCGAAAGAAATGTTGGGTCGATCGAACAAGATATTTTACTGAGGATAAGGACAAAAGGCTCGATCCATCATGGCATGGTTGGATCGATCACTGTGATCGATCGGAACTTTGGGTTCGATCGATTGTAGAAGGCTTTCTTCATCACTTTGCATCCACTTTGCTCTTTTCTTCCACTAAGTTTGAGATTGCTTCTTTAAATACTTTAATTCAGCTGAATTGACTTATTTTGGGGATAAGTGCCTAAAAATGGACATAATATGAAATTAGACTAAAATGAAAAAATAAGATAGAATAGGGTACTAGAACATTCAAGCTTAAGGGGTTTAAATGCGCACTTTTCAGCGTTTATCAAATACTAACGCATATAACAGGCACAACAATAAAAAAAAATTTCCACAATTTAATAAGAGTTCTGGAATAACCAAACAAAACTAAAATAATTAAACATTCACTTCCAAACTTTTTTGCACTTAATTTCAAAAACATTACAACAACGTTATGTTATTTATAATTACCAATCATAATTCTCAATTACCATTACAAATTGTATACAACATTGCTTTACAGGAATAGAATGGAAAATTTATTTTAAGATCTTAAATTACAAGTTCAAAGCTCCATTCCGAATAAATAAAGAATATCCCAACTATTTTGTAGTATTTATCACAAATAAAAATTTTCAGATTTCCCATTCATATGTTATAAATAATCAATATGCTTATACAACTTACAACATATAATCTCTATCAATACACATTAATTAGGGTTTTGAAATAAATAAACGGGATTGCAAAATAATTTATTTTCAAAGTACTAAGGCATACAACAGGCATAACAACAAAAAAGAATTGCACAATTTAATAAGAGTTCACGAATGACCAAACAAAACTAAAGTAATGAAATATAATTTCATAGGATTCACAAATTCAGTTATAAACACTGAAATAATGAAAAATACAAACCCTAAATTCTTGGACTATAATGTCTGCAAGTATTTATCTTTGTAATCCCTATAATTTTATTGCCGGTGACATTGTAGCTTCGTCTTCTCTTTCTTATCAGTTTCCTTTTCCGGCATTCAATCAAATCATGTTCCAGTTGCCCTGTTAATTTGGAAAGAACCCTGTAAATTTGGAAAGAAGAAGAAAAATTAGGAAAGGGATGAGAGTTCTGAATTCATTTGGAAACAATTATAATTTGTTTCTATATTTTGGGAGAGCAGAAGAAAGAAGAATGGCGAGAGTTTGAAATTGAAAATTCAAACTGAACAGTGCAGCCGCTGATGGAGGAACGATAGGGACCGGCTGAACAGGTCTCCTATTGAACATGAGACGATTTTGCTCTGGCGATCTAGGCCTGGGTGAAGCTTCTGGTGGATGCAGGATGGACCACAATATCATGGGCCTGTTTAGTTGTGCTTCAAGCCCAATCAATATTGATGTACTTGTCCAACACGTGGGCTATGTGCTTCTTCGCCCCACTTTGTTTATGAAAATGTTTGCCCAAGACCAATGTATGGCCCAGTGGATGCTATTGCTGTGAATCTTTTGCTCCTTGTCAGATGCTTGTGTGAATAGTTCCATGTAATATGTATTGTTCTATTTGTTTGCTAGGAAATATATATATTTATATACATATATACATTGACGGGTACTGTGGAGCTTGATAGATACTGTACACCAAGTTCCAACTTTCCGGTAAGTTGTGAACTCTCTGTATCCGCTGTTATTTTCTATCATCATAGTAAAAATCCCTATAACCCTTGGACGTAGCCCTGATTTTGAGTGAATCAAGTAAAATTTGTGCGTTCTTGTATGTATGTGTGTTTGATCTCTTTTTTTTTATTATTATTTAATTTCACAATATATATATATATATATATATATACTCAATTAATTCTGCTTAACGAGGACCGAGTCAGATACTACAACGCTAAATTGACCTTCACCAATTAGCCCTTTGTTTCGGGGTCGGTGGGGAGAGTTGACCCTTTCTGTGCTCAGTTAAATTTAACTTATGGTAAAGAATGAATGGTAATCAATAACATTGGATGGCAAACGGACCATTGAACGCCTCCCTTCTTTTATACTCATGTAAAATTGTAAATATTAGCAACTCAGAGCTGTACTGTTAGCTGCTTCCAGCAAGTAGAGTTTAAGAGCTGCTACAAGAAACCCCCCTCTCAACTTCTTACAAAATTAAAATGAGTGAGTCCCATCACACGAGAATCACAACACCCACCTAAATTTCTACTAAAAAAAAATAATAAATAAAAGGAACTTAGAAATATGTGAAACAGTGGCATCAGAACAAATATGCTATCGAAGTGGAAATATATCGATTAGAAGCAACTTAGAATAGCAAAAGCAATAAGAATGTCACGAGTTACAACTTGATAAAATGTTGTATCTCAAAAGCACAAAAGGTGTAATAATCAATGACATCAAGAGTGCAGAATGGATGAAAAATAAATTATATGGAAGTTCTATAAAACTGGCTACAAGGAGGAGTTAAGGGAAATACATTTCACTATAGCAATGATTAAAACTGTAAAACTACTGAATTCCGAGTCATCTACAGATGGAAAGCTGGAAGTTTTGGAGAAAAACCTAGTAAGTCACAAGGAAGGGAGTGATGTTGTAGGAATTCCAGGTGCAGCTGGTGTAGCAGTTGCATTCTCTGTCCAATTTGTTTCACCCCAGTGCCATAGCATGCTCTCCCAGAAGCAAAAATCCTCGAAGCAAGTCTTCAAACGCGGATCTTTAATGTTAATCTTCCAATGACCATCTGTGAAATTTGCTTTCTCAGCTTGTCTTCGATCCCACTCCAATGCTGCCTTCTGCTTGGACCTAAGCAAGCAGAACTTTTGTAAGTTATCAGGCATTGCATCATGGATCTTCCACCACCGTTTATGTGCAACATCACTCGCAAACTCCTGCAATCTGTCTACATTCCAGTTGCAGTCATAGTCACGGAAGCATAGCCATGGTTTCAAACCCAAATAATGGAGTACGTAAAGGACTGGAGGATCAGCTCCAAAGAGACGTATTTTCGTCTCTTTCTTCTCCTGCTCATCCCCTTCCCAAAAGTGCTTCAAGAAGTTCATGTGTTTCGGAATGCGATGCCACCATGTGAAGATTTCATTCAAATAACCCTGGTCCCCACCATTGTAAGACTCAATCTCGTTAATGTGATCCATAAGCAGCTGGAATGTACAATTCGATGGTTCGACAACCATCACACCTGAATTAAACAGCGTACCATTATTTCCGGTGGCAGATATTTCTGGCATCTCGAATAGGAAATCAATATTCCTAAGAACAAGCATGTCAGCATCTATAAAAATAATCTTGTCATAATCTGTCAACTGCCAGAGACGGAATTTGCTGTAGTTCCATTCATTGTAGGCATCCCTTTCAGCTTTTGGGTTTCTGATTCTTTGAATGGTATGGATTTTCCAACCTGCAGCCTCCAAGCCTCCTCTGTGATAATTGCTGATTGTATCATCAACAAGTATCACAAGATCTCGAGTTGAACCAGCCATGCGAATACTCTGGGCTGCAGCAATCGCCCCACAGACATATACATGTGCTGAGTGCAGGATTGTTGCATATGCCTCTCGGCGTGCATTCCCTGAGTACCAGTGCTCTGTATACAGATGTCACATTAGTTATGACTGACTGAGTACACACTACAATAAGAATATCAGATTCATTTATTAAGCATCCTGCTTGAATTTTCAATTCCTGTGGCATATATCCAAAAGGTGTTGCACCCACCTCTTATGGGTCATATTGTGAATGTTTTTGGGATTAAATTTGAACACAGAGTATCACATTGACCATCGTTCAGATAAATTTTATTCCAAAAATGTCAATGTTCTCTCTCCAAACCGGTAGTAAGTTTGATCAGATGACTTTACCGGATTGAATCACTATTCACTAGAGAGATCCGAGTAGGTCTTAAAGACACACACACACAGAGATGAGGTGAGTAGGTCTTAGTGTCCTAACATACTTGATTTCATTCTTCTCATACTACCCACAATATAGATATGCATATGGATTGATTAGTGTGCCACGGAATTCATTTCAACTCAACCAAGCTTTGTCTCACTAATCTTAAGATACATAGAACCATAAAGAACAAAGGCTTCGGAAGGAGGTCAGTTAGTTGATTTCATTAGCTGCAGAAACTTGATGATGTGGAAATTATTGAAATAAATGACAAGAAGACATGAGTTTAATACTGACCTTTAGCCTGGAGTGGAACTGCTAGTTCACAAGATCCAACTGGGAGCTGGAGCTTTTCTCTGAGTGCGTTAAGGTTGGGTTCGTACAGCCATGCGTTGCCTTCATGAACAACAAGGTCTTTGCAAGTAAAAAGATTTGGAAGTGGAAAGCAGTCAGTCACCAAAATTACCCGCACTGGATGATACCCTTTGGCAGTGGCAGCAAGCCTAGCTGCTGCCAGTTGCAACTGTAAACTAGCCACATCTCTTGACCAATCCCCCGACTTATTGCAAGGAAGCTTGACAGCAATGAGATCTATCCGTGGTTTTCCAGGGACCTGAAGCTTTGGTAAACTAGGACAAGTGGGAACCTCAAATTCCCCTTCCTCATCGATCCATTCAGGGTATAGGGAATCCCAAGTTACATTGTTTGACACATAATCCAGGTGCAGAACAACATGCTCTGCATCCGGTATCAACTGTTTCCACTGATCAATTTCACTTTCATTGAAGTTTAACAAACCTATTCCCTGATACTCATTCCGGTCGGTCAGTTTCTCAACTATTTTTGAGATTTGTTCCCAATTAATATCTAAAAATGATACATAACGTTGATCTGCAGAAGATTTTTCCCCTATCCATCGGTCTACAAAACTTGGCCTGCATGCAGTAAAATCTGCCTTCAAAACGTTGTAACAAGAAAAAATAATTTCTTTATCCTAGCAAACAAATGATTAGAGGACATTTGCCAAGAAGGAAAAGAAAAAAGCTTTTACCAAAGGGCCTCCACCCAATGGTATGATCTCTCGTCCTCAAATGGGGGAGGTTCTGAGTTTGAGTCCCACTAGGGACATATTGTGAATATGGGTGTGTTTGTTTGCTTTAACATCCAAAAAAAGAAAAAACTCAGAACCTCTTTATTAGTTTCGTTTAGTTTACTCTTTGAATTACTCTTATATTAAATTTATATTACTTTTCTATAAAGAGATTCCCCAGAAAAAAATATCTTCTTGTTTCTTTTTTTGGATGTTAAAGCAAACAACCACACCCATATTCACAATATGTCCCTAGTGGGACTCAAACTCAGAACCTCCCCATTTGAGGAGGAGAGATCATACCATTGGGGGATCTCTTTATAGAAAAATAAAATAAATTTAATATAAGAGTAATTCAAAGAGTAAACTAAACGAAACTAATAAAGAGTAAAAGCAAGAAGAGTAGCGAATAAATATACCGAGATCCAGAACTGGATGGATGATCTGTGTTATAAACTGCTGGAGAGAGGAGGAGTGTCAAAAATGTCCCCAAAACGATAATGATCAACACAAGTTTCAGAGTAAGGAACTTGCAATTTAAATTCCTATATTGGCTGGGGATATGGAAGGACTTCTCACCAACTTTACTTCTTAAAGATCTTCTTTTGTTTGTGTCTTCACTGGACCATATTCAAGAAAACATTAGTACATAAAGCAGGTGAAGAAAACCTCAAATAGCAGAAACCAGCAGTGACAGCATTCAAGATGACAGTAGGCAGACTTATCATCCTGAAGCATTTTTTATGGACATGACGTGATCTAATTCACTTCAATAATTTATGCATTGGATAAAAGCATCACAAATAATGAATATTCAGATACTTAATAAATGTGAATAACAATACATTTCCAGCCACAGATAGAAGCAGACTTCAGTTTGCTACAAAATATTTGGTCTGATCCCCAGTGAAAACCAAGGCAACAAAAGCAATGCAAGCTAGAACCCTAAAATCCACCTATCAAAAACTAAGGGATTCTCGGTGAATCACTGGTGAAAACAATAGGATTGGGGAAATACAAACCACCTGGCTGTCCTCTTCTTCCTTGTGAAAGCATTACTCTCAATTACGAGGTACTCTTTTTTCTTCATAGAGAAATAGAAAAAAGAAAAATATCGTACTCCACTTTGGTCTCTTAGTGCAGTGACTGCATACCCCTCAGTTTAGATTTCTTACATGGAAGGACAGAGACTAAGTTTAAATCTAGTGTTCTTTTGACAAAAATTGTTCCTGCACGTATGGCCCAAGTTCCCTTTAAAACTTCAATTGCCAGCAATCCCATGTTTCCACAGATCCACTCATAGAAGAGATTAATGAATGAACTAATTAAAAAAAAAAAAAAAAACTAATAGTTGAATGTCACTTGTAACATGTGCTAGGTATTTTAATTTTTAGAGTTGGCAAATTTCGATTTCAAAACTGAATTGAGTTGTAATTTTGCTTTTAGACTCTAATCCTATTCGAGTGTTTCAAAGATTAACAAAGTCCAAGATTGATGCATCCGAACCTCATCGAAAGAAACACACATTAGAAACAGGTAATTGAGTGTTTGAAGGAAAACCAATGTGACTGTTAAACAAGATTTTAAATAAGATTAGTTTTGCAAAAAGTTCGAAAATGTTCCAAAACTTTGTTTTGAACTGTGGAGTCACGCAAACGTTTGAAGTGCACAAATGCACCAGTACAAGTGCATTCTTTTTCATTTTGAGAACCAGAAAACAAATGCACTGGTCCATTACTTTGACATGCACTGGTGTAAGTGCACCAGAGGGCCCATGCACGTCCAGCGAGCAACATGCCAAAACTACTTCAATCATGCTTCAGATAGGATTTGATTTTCTGATTCCAAACATGTCCAAAACTTATCTCCTTCTTTACAAAAGGTTTTCTAGATATATTTAAAGTATTTTCAACCAAAACTGCAAGTGTTCAAGCTATATAAACCTTGGGTTTTTCTTCTTTTTTTTTTTTCTCTCTCAATACACATGCACAAACTCAGATTTTGAGAGCCGATTTTGGGTTGAAAGACTTTTCAATTGAGTTTTTGCATACATGAGCATAGTTTGTATTTGTGCTTCACTGATTGTCAGATTTAAGGCCTTCATTGAACCATCAAACACGGGCAGTGCATCTGTCATTAACAATCAATTCTTTGCACACATTTGTGGAAGGGCATCGGCGTATTATCAATATGAGAAGCAGATCATCATGAGGTGATTGCATTAATGTTGATCAGTACTGCTGGTAATTCCGAAAGTACTGGAGTCAAAAGGGTACTGAACGTCAGAGATAAAGCAACGGCAACTGATTCTGAAAGTACTGAAATCAATGAATTTGGAAGAACAATACCAAAGTAACCGAAAATTCACCTGAGGCAGCATAGTCTCCGTAATATTTTAGCTAATGGCACATAAATAAATAAAAATTGTGTTTCCCTTAAATACTTGATAGTATTGTTTCGTTTTCGTTGCTTGTGTGTATTAAAATTAATCTAATGTTTAAAATGAAACAAAAATAGTGAACTACATCTATTAACCACCTTCTAGACATATCTAATAACTGAGAAACATTTAAACCACTTCCATACAATGCAATTTTGATGCTCAAGGAAACTCGGATTTTTTTTTTGGGGGAGAAGGAAGAGGGTTAAGTTAAGATTTGGAATTTTCACAACTTACATAAAAGTGTCGTTCATTAGAGAACTCAGACAAATATTAGATGTGATGCACAAATTTCAGCAAAACAAAAATATTACGGAAATAGCAGGTCCCATAAATGAAATCTTTCATTAACAAAAATCTAAATTCCTGAAGAATCAAGTTTAGGAATTATCAAAGCATACAATGTGCCTAGTTTTAGAAATATTGCCAAGTTTTTTTTTTTTTGACTCAATTGAAAAATCTTGTACAACAAAGATATTTACCTAGAGTAATGCTATCAAGAGGGCTCTCTCATGACAAGAGTCACGAGCTCCCCTTATTGAAGCATCGTTTCTTATTGTTTTGACCTCGATTTTCTTGTACTCATATTTACTCTCAATAATTAATAGTACATCATGAACTCAACACAACAATATGGTGAGCATCCCTCTATTCTGTATTTATGATTGTAAAAGAATGACCCATAAGTTGTCAAATCAGACGAGAGAACAGACTTGAACCCAGATGTCATATTCATGAATTAAGCAAATATAAAAATTGTTTCTTCTGAACTGAAATTACAAAACTTAATTTGAAACCATTCCAAACCAAATGGAGTAATGTTTACACTATTAAATTTTCATTACCTAACTAATCTAACTTTGACCCAAATGTCTGCAGGAAAAAAAAGGACAAGTAAGGGCCCAAAATTACTTCATCTAGTTAACAATGACCTACAGTCCATATTAGGCATGAACCTCCTCCACATCTGGGCATTCACAAAATTTGTTCTTTTAATTGTATAATTCATCCACCATCATATGAAAAAAAAAAAAAAAAAAAAAAAAAGAAAGGCTTGTGTGTGTGTGTGTGTGTGTGTTAGAGAGAGAGAGAGAGAGAGACTGACTTGGTTGAAGAGAGCCGGTGCCTGGCTTCGATGGGGCTGGGGGAGGTACCAATGGTTCCTCTCATCTTTGATTCAGTCACAGCTTGGGGAAGGCAACATCTGGTTCTGATCTGAAAACAATGTCGAAGTCAAATTTGAATATAAATAATTAAAAAATAAATAAAACAATAAAAAAAAGAAGGAAAAAACACAAAGTCCACGAGGTTATAGATTACTGCAACTTTCGATTGTTTTAGAGAGAGAAAGTAGCGAGATACCTGTGATCTATGCTGGGATTTTGAAATTACTTAGAAATGGCAGTGAAGACCATAAAGACCGGAGAGAGAAGTGTTTAACCGTTTTAAGTGTTGGAACTTGGAACAGTGAAATCGGGTCCAGATTTTATTAGTTCTAGTTCTGGCAAGAGTCAAATGATAAAGCGGACTCGAAACCGTAGAATTGTTAATTAATTAATGAATTAACTTTCTTAATTTGTCATAATTGTCCTTTGATCTGGTTGAGGAAATTAAACACACCAAAATTAAACCGTGTGCTTTCCCATTCGACCCCTAGTCCATCCAATATGTTTTACTGCTTGAACTGAAAGTTGATCTTAGATTAAATAGTTGGAGTCATTATTTTTATTCTAGCACGGTTGGATAATAGAATGGATGGATATTTAGTGTTTGAACGCATTGTATTAAGTATCATTAAGTATACTGAATATGAGTTCAATTTTTTTTTTTAGCTATACAAGTCTGTTTCCATCGATGACTAAAAATATATTTTTTTTTTCCGTACTTCTAGAGTCGGACTTCTCAAAGTTTTCCTCCTGTTTGGGGATAAGGAGGGAGCAACATATCTTTTGATTTGTATGACTTAAATCAAACGACCATTTGCAAAATATTTAGAAAGTTTTTAAAACTATTTTCAATTAGGTTATATTATGCAGACCAGGTTGTGTTAAGGGCAGTCAAAAGCCTAGTCTAAAATTATAGATAGCCAAATTAAGCTTCAAAAGGTTTAACATCGTGCTAAGGAGGCACAGAGGAGTTACCGGACCCATTACTTATATGCACACTCATTGCAACATAACTATTTGAAAATTTATTGGATCTCTCCTAATTTTGAAAATATTCTACACAAATTTCTTTTTTGTTAAAGTCAACAGCAGTCAACGACGAAAATTGATGAGGTCAACAATATTTTTATTTTTTATTAAAATTCCTAAAATACCATTGTCTATATAATTAGATGCTATATTTAAAAGATATATATATATATATATATATATCAAGCCTTCATCTGGTTTAGTTAGTGGTGATGGCAGCGAGGATCTGTGACGGCGACGGGTTGTGGTGGTGGGTATCTGTAACAGCGACAGGTTATGGTGGTAGGTTTGAGACGGTGAGGCTGTGAGATGGCGACGGTGAGGATCTGTGACGGCTAGGCTGTGAGACGGCGACGGCGACGGTGAGGATCTATGACGGCGAGACGGCAACGGCGAGGATCTGTGACGGCGATGCTGTGAGACACAAGTGGAAGAGCAACCTATTTTGACTTCTCAAAAATAAGGAAGAAAGATTTTAGGTTGCCACAGACGATGTTTTTGTTCTCTTTTTCTTGGTTGTGCAAAAATCTCTTTCTTCTTATTCGCTGGTGAAGCTGAAGCTTGATACTATGAGACGGCGAGGATCTGTGATGGCGACGACGGCGGCGAGAAACGTATATATAAATCCTCTCTCAGTATTGTTGTAAGAGATTGGTGAAGAATTCCCATAAGCACTTCTAATTGGATGTATATATAGATTAATCATCTTTGTTTTTTCTCTCCAATACAATTCCTCTAAAAATTGCAGTAGAGCTTCAATAAATTTAGCATAAACTCATTATTTCCATTCTTAGATGACAGTGTTGTACATGGGAGGGATTTGGGTTGTGTCTGCCATATTATTTCTAAGCTGAATTTCAATGATCTTATAAAAGGAAATATGATTCTTTGCCGTATTGGTCACATTCTGATTACAAAGGGAAATATGATCTTATAAAAGGAAATATGATATTGGCCCTTTTCTGTCAAATTGCAAAATCTTTCCATTTTTCTTCCACAACAGCTAAGCTAATAGTCTTCCTTTTTGGGCCTCTATCCTCTTCACAAGAGCAAACCATGTCTGGTCCAGACTGATACTCAATGAGCATTTTAATCGAAGTAGCTTACAAGAATTGCATCCTGTTTTCATAATTCAGAACTTGAAGATGGAGATTGAGATAGATATGGATATAGATGTATGTATATATATAATAATATGAGGGTATATAAGTAAATTCATCATTTATATTTATATATATATATATATATATATATAGATATATATATATATATTATTTATATGGGTACTTTAGTCATTTGTTATAGAAAATTGAGGGCATTTTAGTAAATTTGACATGTCCGTTAGTGTAAATTACCCAAAAAAAAAAAAAAAAATAGGTAACTTTAATTCCTCTCCTCCTTTTTTAACTTGGGCTTGTAGAAGGAAGAAATAAGCAGGCCTATAAAGAATGAATTTAATGGTTTAGCCTCATAATTTTTAGAGGTTGTTTACCTTTAACCAATTTGTTTTTCAAGTTTAGAGTTAAAAATCACTCAAAATACTTCTAATGCTCAAACTTTTTCATTTTGAAGGAGGAGTTACTAGATTCATTGCATATATGACCATAAAGCTTGTAACGAGCTCTATAATGAAGTGAATATAGTCTACAGGTTTGAAGTTGGTTTCGTATACGAATTTAGAATTTCAATAAAATTTGTAAGGATTTTTTTTTTTTTTTTTTTTTTTTTTTTGCATTATTCTTATTTCTGGTGAATTCTGTTTAAAGTAGAGCCTGAATCAGTTTATTTTTTGTTAGATTATATTCAAGTTAGGGTTTTACCGACCTATCAACTCTTGTATATCGTCATCACTTAACTCAATTCACTACAGAGTTTTCATATATTCTCTATATGTTTAAGTTCTTGGTGGTGTTCCAATAGCCTATTAAGAACACATATTCTGTTTAGTGTCCAAAACAGGTCTTCAAAAAGTCCTTTTGCTTTTTTAATCATACTTAGACCATCTCAACGGCGTCAGAAAGGAGTTTGCACACGCCACCACAAGCTTTTACCTTGTGTGCCAACCACACTCCCACATGCGCCGACAACTTCCATCACACGCTAGAACTATTATGTCACCAGAACTGGCCAGGGCCGTTTCAGCAGTCGCATCAGCATATAGCCACATTATCTGACACGTCAGTGGCCATACCGCATATGGGTCCCACATTCATGTCACATCAACTATGTTATGAGCGGAAGCAATTTGTGAAACAAGAACAAACCAAACAAATCGAAGAAAAATAAATCGGACAAAGAACAAGAAATCAAACAGCCACACAAAGACACAAAATATTTACGAGGTTCGGCAAGACGCCTACTACTTGGCCAACAATGATCAATCTTCTACATTAGAGAAAAATGGAGGATTGCAAAGAGTTTCTCACACCACTCACAAACCCTATTCGAAGAAAGAAAAAAAAAAAATCCCTAAACACGTAATTTTTTATTTTTTTTTTCCCTTTAAACACATCTCAAATAAGGCCCATGGCATGGATAGAATTCATGACAAAATCCAACAAATCTCCATGATGGCTTGAATTCAATTAACCCTTCCAAACAAAGCAATCAAATCAAAGTTGCCACCAATTTTGTTTCAGACATGAGTGATGTTGATCAAGTCCAAACAAGGCTCAGGCTCATATCATGGCTGTAGACACTAAAATTTTAATGGATTTTGGTTTTGACAAATTGACCCATCAAATATGGGTTTAATGTTTAATTAAGTTATTTAACTGGCCCAAGTTTGGTCCACTTAAATTATTTAATTAGCCCAGCCCAGATGAGTAAATGGAAAGATAATTATTCCTAATAAAATATATTTGGAATAATTAGTTTTAAAGATAATTATCATAATATAATAGCCCGACCCAGTTATGATTTTTTCCTTATCAGGAGAGGACACGTGTCATCATCCTATTAATCCAAGAAGCCTATAAATAGAGGCCTGGAGGAAAGAGGAAGGGGGACACAAAAATTCAGAGTCTAAAAATCCAGAAGGTCTAGAAATTGAGAGAATCAGAAATCCAGAGGGTCAGAAATCCCGAGGGCGAACCTGAAGGCGAAGAACACTAAGCACATCCAAAGTCTTGCCATTCTTCATCAAATTCAACAAATCCTCTCTGAAGACGAAGAACAACAAGCACATCAAATCGTGTCGTTCTTCTTCCAAATTCCACAATGATCAACAACAAGCACAGCCAAAGACATGCCGTTCTTCATTCAAATTCCAAGGTGATTCAAGATCAAGCTCGTGCAGCCCTTGGATCTAACCAACCAAAAAGGAGATCAAATCAGAGGACCTTATTCTTTGGAATATTATTACAGAGGATTGTACTCCATCTTTATAAATTAATAAAATATTCTATTTGCTCCCAATTTTATTTTTATTGCAGACTACAAAATTTGTGCGTACAAATTTCTGGCACGCCCGGTGGGACCTCCGCTGCCTCTTATTTCTTTCTCCTACATCAAATCCTTAACAAATTCAGATGAAAAGTAAAAATACCACCAAAGACATCGCGATCATAATGGACAACATCAATATCATCACAAAAGGTGGCAAGAAGGTTGCAACTTCGTTAGGTGGTATAAACACCTCCGCAAGTTCAATGATGTGGAGCATGGTCAAATCATCCGTTCCTGCCAAAAGACAGTAGGATGCGATGAGAGTCAATTCTGCCAAATTTGTCAAAGTAACAACTCAAACTCATATCACCTTCGCCTTACTCGGGGCAAGGAGGAAGGTTTCTACAACCTCAAAGGTTGCTCCAGTCACAAGTTCAAGGCTAGTCCACCTAAGGCCAAAGATTTTTTCTGACTCCATCACTATGCTAGTCATGATGACGAGTACTACCACATATAAAGAGCAATTGACGACTATGGCCCGTGCAATTGAAAGATTACAACACTCTCTCAAGGAGTAAGATCTGAAAATTACCTCGCTGACAGAAAAGTTAAAATTACGTGACGACAATGCTGAGTCAAGCAAAGGCTGAATTCCTCATTCTAATTCCATGCCAGAGAACACTCCAATTGATAATCAAAATGACGTGTACGCCAATCCAACAATTGATGTTGCTTCTGTTACCTCACTTTCCGTCCAACAACTTTAAGACATGATAGTGAATTGCAGAAGAGAACAATACAATGGCGTTCCTCAAAGTGCTCGCATATACTCAAAGCCTTACACAGAAAGAATTGACATCTTAAAAATGCCGATTGGGTATCAACCTCCAAAGCTTCAACAGTTTGATAAAAAAGGCAATCC